CTAAGGTGCTGAACACTGTAGCTGTTAAACCTATCACAAGAAGGAAGCCATGGAAGTTCCTAGGAAGCTGTCCTAAAGTGAGGAAGACCGAACAGAACTATCCCTAAACCCTATCTGTCCTTCAGTGTTTGGAAGGGATGCTTTACCCTTGGCAGATGAAATTGCCATGGCGACTGGCCCCAGCCACGCTGGCAGGGTGCGCAGCAGGGCAAGGAGCTATTCTGGAGCCACTGGGATCTTGTGGTGGGCGCAGCTTGGTCCAGGGTCAGGGCAGAGCTGTGATCTGCAGCCTGCACGCTCTGGGAAGGGGCATGCAGGCAGCAGATCACGGCTCTGCCCCGGCTCCTTGCAGAGGTGACAGCCTGATCCTGAGCCGGGGCAAATCATGGGTTTGCCCTGGCCCCAGACCAACCTGCCCCACCACAAGATCCCAGCGACTTCAGAGCAGCGCCCTGCTGCACACCCTGCCAGCGTGGCTGGGGTTGGTCTCCATGGCAACCCCAGCCTTGTGCTATCACAGCACAGGTGGGGCTGGGTTCTCCATGGAGACTGGCCCCAGCCATATTGGCAGGGGCTGCTGGGAAATGGAGTCCACTGCTGGCCAAGGTTCCCTCTAAGCTGCGCACATGTGCGGCCATGCACAATAAAAAGTCTTGCCATGCAGTAAGATTTTAATGCCATGCACCCACCCCAACCTGGCCACAGGCTGCTGCAGGAGAGGCGGGCACACAGATACCCGCGCACTCCCAGCCAGGATCATAGCCACAGGCAGATAAGTTTCTTTCTTTCTCACTAGGCTTTGGGGGGATGCAGGTTGGGGAGGGGGAGCTCCGCTGCCGGCTGTGGCTGGGGGGCAGCAGCCCTCGGCACCAAGGACCTTTCTGGAGAGGAGCTGGGCTGCGGCTTCCCAGAAACTTTGAGCGCTGCCTCCAGAGCGTGGCTCAGGGCCCGGGGCAGAGACAGTGGGGCCGGCGTGGGACACTTAATCACAGATCGCTACATCTTAGAGGGAACACTGGGTGCCAGCCCGCGGGCCAGACTTTGTCCAGCCCTGCTTTAGGTGCTCTGTGAACTGTCAACTGCATCACAGATCTGATGCTTGTCTAACTTCATCCCAACCATGCAGTTGGTCCAATAAAAGATATCACTCAAAAATCTTTGCCCACCACATCACCAGTCAGTAAGAGTGAAGTTACCATCCACTGGCTGTTTAGAAGCCTGGTTCTACCCAGGAATTGGTTTGGCACATCACAAAAACAGGTGCCAAATTGGGCACTAATAGGTACCCTGCCTTGGCAGTGGCAGCAGTATGGCTAATGATTACATGTGCGTGGAAAATGGTGCAAATTGCCATGCAAAAGATGGGGATAAGGGTTAGAGTCGCAAGTGAGAAGAACAAGGGAAAAGTTTGAGGTAATGGAGATCACTGCAGCATAATGTATCTCGCCAGAAGTATTTTCCTGACAAGCTTTCCTTTTTTTTCTAATCTCATCTTGCTAGTATATTAGTCCTGGAGAACTAATATGTTGCCTGTCCTGGAAGGATGTCCTCACATGTAGGGTGAAGTACATGAGAACAGTAATGTCCTGTAAAATGTGATGCATCCCTGCAGAAGTGGACACGACTCGTTCCATTTCTCAGTTCATCATTTAGGGTCCCTCCCATCAGAGCTTTGTTCTGATGAATTAATGCCAACTTCTTACTATAGTGAATTCAAGAGGGTATGAGCTAGTTTCAAGCCTCTGTGTATACTTCTTTGGCTGGCGTTACCTGGGCATTTGGATTCTGTGATTGTCTAACGCAGTGACTGTCAACTAGGCTGCTGCAGCACCCGAGGGTGCCTTAAGACCCTATCAAGGGTGCTGCAGTGTGCCGCACATTACCATTGCTGGGTGTGTATGATTCACAAAATAAACCCAGAGATTTCAAATAAAAATTCATAGTGTTAAAAACACTTTGACCTGCTGTGGCCTTTCTGAGGGTATTTTTGGGTTTTTTTGCAACAGAAGAATTGTTCCATTAGAACTGGCATTTTCTGAGGGGTGCCATAATCTAACGAGGCTGAAAACCCGTGATCTAACTAAAGTGAAAAGTGCATGTTTGACTATAAACACAAATCAAAACAGATCTGCAAGACTAGAGTTTTCCTCTCTTCCTCCTCCATTTCAGGGGAATATGCCACCTTTGAAACCTGCATTCCTCTGCAAAAGGAGATACTCCTGTGCCCTAGTTGTACTGTACATGAAATACAGGACAATCCACTCTTAGGTTTGTCGGCGTGATGCCTTCCACTCATGTACATAAAAGCCATTCTTGCTGCTCTGGTAGCAGCTTGGTGCTAAGAGACTTGCCCGGAAAGACAGCTCTTCTGTTTCGAAGGGCAGCACTTCAACAGCAAGAATACTTTGAGCCAAGAGCTGTGGAAAGCTTGCATTTCACCGGTAAAGTGCAGCAAGTGCGAGCTAAGCTAGGGAGGAAGGGAGCTTGCACTACATATCGCTCAAAAGTGCAAGGTTACCGTTCTCACAACCTTGAATGTTGCTAATGAAACTTGGCTTGCAAAGAAACCAGTGAGGGCTGTGAATGCAAGTGTCTGAATGCTGTCAGGCAGCACAGAAAATGGAGCCATTTTCAGTGACTAGGCTATCTCATACCAGTTGGTCTTTAATACTGTTTCTGTGAACAAAATAAACTAAAAATGATATCCGTGGTAACTGACTGAAACCAGCCATTTTCACAAATATGGCAGATGCTTTGGTCTTAGAGAGCTGGTTAAAATGTAGTGGTCAAAATACCCAGGGAATAGTACATTTTCAAAGGTCAATCAGTTAGCTGGCCACTTTCAACTACAGGCAGTCCTCGGACTTACGACGCAATCGGTTCCTGAAAACCACGTCTTAAGTCGAAACGTTGTAACTCGGAACCAATTTTCTATGAGAAACAATGTTATAAATGGGGGATTGGTTCCTGAGCCCAGGCCCAGTACCCTATTTTCACCAAAAATACCCCAGAATTTTGTACTCAGTCAATTATAGATGAGTAATATAGCTACATTGATGTATTTATATTGTAAATAGCAATCATATTGATTGGGAAGGACTTCTTTGAGGTGACTTTGCTGGACTTTTTGAAGGGCTCTTAGTTGGACTTTCTGAAGGGCTCTTGGCTGCAGTCTTCTCAGGGGTCTTGGCTGCAGGTTTTTCTGCAGTCTCGTCTGCTTTTTTAAAGAAAGTGTTCAAGGACGTTTGGACAGACGTTCTCCAGGGAGATGGATGATGCAGCGAACTTGTTTGCTGGTGTGGCATCGTATTGGATCAAGCGTTGTAAAGGCAAAACGGACCTCAGAAAGTTGAACCAGGGTGTCAGTTTAGAAACGTTGTAAGTGCAAAACGTTGTAACTCGAAACGTTGCAAGTCAAGGACTGCCTGCAGTTCCTTCTGTTTCCAGTGGAAGTACACTATGACGCCTAATGTTTCAGAAGCTTCAGTTTAACTTTGTCCACTTAATACTACTTAAATGTTGAAAAATATGTGGAATTAAACTTAATGCTTGCCCTGTGTGTGCAATAAATTATTTGGTTTGACTTGGGGCAGAGGCTATCCGTTGGAAAAAAATTACTACCAAAAGAGATTTAGTCTGAATCTATTATTTTAAAAATCAAAGAGGCCGGTTTCTTAAGCCCTTTACTTGAACAAATATCCCACTATAGTCAGTAGGGACTTTTGACACAATCCTTCAATCTTCAAATAGGGCAATTAACTTCATTTGACTTCTAAAACTAAGCATCCTTTAAAATATAGCTGCCCATTCTCTTGGTGAAAAGCCCTTCTGCCCCATGTGTTACTTATTATTTCTAATGGTATCCAGTTTATGGTTAGTACACGCCTGCACCAGACTTTTTACTTTGCATCGAGGGAGGAGGTTCTGAAACGCTGGTCAAGATTCGTGGAGGTTCATAGTGACTTCAGCTCCGGTGTTTGGGTGTCCAACTCCTACGTGCCTCTTAACAGGCACTTCAATCAGCATATCTGAATATTAGCTGTCCGTGAAATCAAACGCCTGTAGTCACTAGTTGTTCTTGTTGGCGAGGGAAGGGACATATCTCTGCTAGAGACTCACAAATGTCAGTCCAGGCCAGCTATTCCTAAAGAGGACTTAACCAATCCTTTTTTTAGTTATCACTACGCTCCTTGAGCCCGGCATTTTTGTTTTGTCCACTGCTTGGACAAAGCGGTAGAGCTGGAGCTCTTTTTAATATGCACAGACCACTGTAACTGTGTAGCCCCCCCCTCCTAAATTTCATGGGCTTTGTGAATGCCAAGCAAAACTTCAGCTTCTGAATTTAAGAAGTCTTTCTGTTTTCTGGGGTGGTGCTTTTTGGTTTGAATATTTTAAAACATGTTTTTTAATTATTTATTCCTTTTTATGGTGCATCAGCACTAGACAAGGTGTGAAATTGCTTGACAAGTTGCTTTCAGGGGCCTGGGAGATGATTGCAAGCGAGGTTATTTGAAGTACCCTACAGAAGTGGAATAAGTGTTCTGACAAACAGTAACTTAGGAGTCTGGATGCTGGTGAGAAATACGTAGGCATTAGCATCTGATGGGGTGCTGATGGGTGTCAGAGCTGTGCAGTAATTCAGTTGCTGTCGTGATTTCTGTGCCCCACCTCAAAGCCTGAGAAACTTTGAGCTGAAACCCAACTTGAGTCGGTAAGTAATAGGGAAGGGAATGAGAAGTATTTAGCATCTCTTAAAAAATAAGCCATTTTAAATACAGCCCTCTTTCTCTGGTATGCAGTCCAGTGGCTTCTGCTATGCCGTGCATTGTTGAACGTGTCAGTCCTGTTCTTTCAGCAGTTGTTCTCATCAGCAATTTATCATCCTTTGTTTTGTTAATGCCTTTCTGTACACACTGTAACACAGCGTGCCCTAATCACTGGGGCAGGTCCTAGAAAGCCAGCAGGCGATAGGGTCATCTGCTTTCTTCTGTTTCCTTCAGATGGATATTCGGTCTCATCTAATGAAAATGGAGGCAAGTCTGACTCGGTGGCCAATTTGCAGCCTCAGCCATCCCTCAACTCAATCCAAAGCTCTCCGGGCCCAAAGCGGTCAACCAACACACTCAAGAAATGGCTGACAAGCCCCGTGCGTCGGCTGAACAGCGGGAAGGCGGAGAGTAACATCAAAAAACAGAAGAAGGTCCGAGATGGCAGGAAGAGCTTTGACCTGGGCTCCCCGAAGACGGGAGACGAGACCACGCCTCAAGGGGACAGTGCAGATGAGGTAGGTGGTAACTTTTTATCCTGGGTGAGACTGATCTCTGGCACATTCTTTGCATAATTCCAGCTTGAGACCAAGTAGCCTGGGGCCGGTGGTGGATATCCATTTTATCTTCAAGGGAAACTACAATATAACAGAAGAGATTCAGGTACCACTTCCTTTGGGGATACCCAATCAAGTGCCAAACCAAAACCTAATTATATGGATCACACAGATAGCATCCTAGGACCTTGGGTCTGATACCAGCTGGGCTAAAAAGAACACAGCCCTAGCTTTAAGAGGTAGGAAATGTTGTGCCACCGGATGTTGGGTGGTAACCTCTGCAGTTTTACATATTCAATGAGAGATTCCAAATTCGAATGTACAGTAGTCATTCCTGAGCAGCAGTTATCAATTCATGCTGAAACTTATGACTTACGCATTTTAAAATAAAAGGAAAATGCTTATTTTTAAGCTGTAAAGATTTATATAGCTATTAAATATGCTAACCATGTGTAGTAGTAATGACCATAATTGCCCTCTGGGCACATTCCTTACAAGACCTACCCCCTTTCTTTCTTTTTTTTAATGATGGTCCTTGTCAGATAAGCTGAATGGAAAATAGAGGTTGCATAACTTGAATGTGTGGGAAAACAGGAGACTTAAAATAATTCAATGTAACCAATAACTTTTAGAGATGGAAAAAGAGCTTGTCGTTAGGCAATAAGACAGATATGGAGACTTTAAATCCCTTTTGGTGGACTAAAATGTTATTATATAATTTAACAAATTATCTTGACATTTGTAAATTTTTTTCCTCTTATACATCACAACTAATATCTTCTAATAGCAAAAAATTGTTCCGTGCAACTTCCCGTATCTTCTCCACCAGGACAAGCAGTCTTATTCATACCGCTCCCCCTACCACCCTCCAGCCCCAAGTTAAAACATCCATGGTATTATGATTAAACAGAAATCTAGATAACTAGGCTCTGCTTGTATGGAAAAAAAGTTGTTCCCTCCCTTTTGTCTAATGATGTTGGCCTTGCCTTCAGAAGAGCAAGAAAGGTTGGGGAGAAGATGAACCAGATGAAGAATCGCACACACCACTCCCCCCTCCGATGAAGATTTTTGATAATGACCCTGCACAGGATGAGATGGTAAGACATCATCTACTATACCAGTTTGCTGACTGATTTTTACTTCCCAAATGACTGGGCTACATTTGTTTGAATACGGCATTTACAGTGAATGAGTTTTCCCATAACCTCAGGCTGAACCCGTGATTATAATAGATGTTTATGGCCTAGTGGAGCTTGGTGTCCAGACCTCCTCACTGAATGGCATTAAGTAATGGTCTTCCACTTTGGATTCAATGCTGTGGAGCATATGGGCACTTCTCGTGTTTTCACATATCTAGGTTTCATTCCTTTATAATAAACTCGACTAAAATGAGGCAATTCTCGTTGACCTTCCTATTACGTCCACGTTGCTATGTTTCACAAGTGCCCTTGATATCTGGCAGTAGGAATTCACATGTTCCTTGGGGACTTCTTGAGTTGAGTGACTCAGAAAAACATCGTGTAATACAAATGTATGAAATTAAAAAAGATGAGCGTCAGGAAGCCTGGGCACTATTCTTGAGTCTCAGTTGCCTTCTGGGGTTCCCTTAGCAAGTCCCTTCCTATCTTTGCACCCCAGAGTTTCCACATCCAGCTTTCAGGCTCAGCTATCTTAAAGTAGCCACATGGACCACTGAGTATCCAACAGAGCACGCGGGTGACTAAATATCAATTTTTAATCGCCCAAATCCAGAATCCTAAGGTGCCTGTATCTGGAAACTGGGCTCTAAATTTATGGTTACTTATCTGCAGGCCTTTCTTCCCCTGCATGTAATGGTGTTTAGGGCTGATGCTCAAATTTGATTGCTTTTGAGTTGAAGTGAAAGGACAGACTTCAGCTTCTGAAGGCAGCCTGCGGGCGCTTGTTGTGTTGGCTGTTAGTTGCCTATCTGATCTACAGATCTGTCTTCCTTTTGCCTGAGTTTAACACACTTGTGCAAATCCATCATTGCATTAGCTGTTTCCTTTATCTCCCCTGCCAACTCTGATATTGCTCTGCACTTCCATCCCTGTGGCCTCTCGCTGTAATTGCTGTATGGAGAGAGGCAAGAATAGGGGACAGCAAGAAACCCGCTCACAAAAATGCTGCTTGCTCCAAGGGTTGAGTTAAGGTGGGAGCCTCGGGTTATAGGGCAGCAGCAAAGATCTGCGTGCCTGCCAGCCAGTGCAGAGATCCAGGATGCAAAAGATAGCTTCAGGGAAAGCTCTTCTAGCCTGTCAGGGGGTATCATCGCAGCGTGGTGGCAGAAAGGGCTGAAGGCAGCTGCTGGAGTCACGCACACTTGATCTGTAAGTGTTTCATACAGTACACGGCTGGCTGGATGAAGAGAGGAGGGGATGGAGAAACCAAGAACCGGCGGTTCCTCGCCAAGTGTACTACTAGTACATTGCCCCTGTCTGGTTCACTGCAGCATTCAGATACTGTTTTTTCTTTAATCTGTCCCTGGTCTCCACTTTTGATGCCTGACATGCAGGCAATTTGGGTATTTTGCCAAGATAAATATTTTGCATTTGGGTTTTTGGGTGTTCAGGTTTTTTTCCTTCTGAAGGTAGCTAAGTTTTACAAAGTCTTCTGACATCCTGTTCCCTTCTCTGAGCCCAGAGAGGAGGGTTGGATGGGGGGAGACCTACCTGGGCTCCTCACAAATATTCTGCTGGTCTTGAATTCAAACTTGCAGCCATTGAACTCGGAAACAAATGCTCGAAACAGGCTGGTTGGAGCGTGAGTCCCCTTGCTCGTTCCCCATTGGCATGGGCAACAAGCATTCCCTCTCTCCACTGCTTATCTTGATTTAAAGAAATGCAAAAATCCAGAACTCTTAGTTCAGAAATGATACCGTTTTATTAGACCCACTGAGAAATTGCAAAAAATTAGCTTGATTTAAGGGGCCTAGAGACCTTGGATTTCTGACTCATCAAGCATTACGCAGATTTGCCGGCCAGGAAAGATTTCCTCTGTCTTGAGAGCCAGCCTCTTGTGAAGAAGTGGTTAATGTCCAATGGTTAAAACACGAATGTGAAAACTGGGAGAACTTGGTTCCAGTCTCCTGCTCTTCCGTAGACTTCCAGTAACTTAGGGCCAGGTCCTAGGGTATCCGGGTGTCTAGGAATGGTGTTCTTCCACCTTGCTTGAGTCCCTGAAAACCATTACTTCTGTAACGCACCTTACTCTTGACCTTTTAAGACAAACCCAGAAACTGGAGCAGGGTGGAGTAGATCAGACTTAGATGATGAAGTTCGACTTGGACATTTAAGCGATGGAACAGGATCCGTCCCTTAATGTTTCTTTGCCTACAGTCTGCATCTGTAAAGTTGGAATAATACTTCTCAGCCTCGCAGGGGTGTTGTAGAAAGAAACAGCCTGACTCTGGTAAACTTCTACTAAAGTAATGGGGCTGTATAATCTACCCAACATGGGGGGGCAGAGAACTCTGTCACCATTTATTATGTCCCTATAAACATACACCAGGATTAATTGGACTTTTTAACTTGGAGCTTGAAGGCTTGCACAATAACTTGGATTTTATATCAAGACTTCAAGGGGGAGAGATGCTTGCAAAACCACTTGAAAAGTTCCAGTACTGGCACAAATGCTTCCCCCCTTCCAGCTCTCACTTCATCTACACTCTATAAATGTCTATACAGGGCTTGGAAGATGAATGCAAGAAATGCTTTCCAACTTAGCTGCCTAAAATCTGTTTAGTTCTCTGAACTGCTGTCCTGCTGTCTCTTCAGTGGGGTTGACTGACTCTGGTTAAAGGGAGCGGGAGTTAGAAGGGGTTAGCACCGCCTGACAACCGGCCTACATTTTATTTACGTGCTTGACTTTGAAATTTGCAGGCTAAGCATTCATCTAGTTTCACTCTTCAAGACCACACTTGTCAGTTAACTTTTGCTACAGACGATGCCCCTCGCTCATCTGGCAGCTTCACAATCCCGGCCTTTAAATTCTTATTAAAAATTGCTGCATTCTGAAATCGGTTTCTGCGTTGAATGGTAAATTGCCCGTCTGATGAAGTGTAACTGCTTTTAATTAAAGCTGTTGATTAGATGCATCATTTGGGCAAAAGCAACGCAACGTGTTCGCGCAGTCTGAACTGCCCTAAACTGGAGAGGATTAGTCTCCTGACCTTCGTCCTGATGCTGTGGCATTCAGCCTCAGCCAGCCCTCACCTGCCAGCTCTTACTGGCACGGTAGGTTGTTTAATGAGATGGCCAATTGCCCAATTTCCACTGTCACTTCTTCCAGGGCTCCTTCACCCACACTTCTTAATCTCCAGTGTTCATTCAGTGGTGCTTGTGTAGAGACTTCCCTGAAGAAGACACCCTTCTCTGTCCAAAAGCTGTAAGCCTTTATTAGGTGATTGAGAGATGAAAAAGCCTTTCATAATTCTAGTGGAATAGCTATTTTTTTGGAAGGCTGTCCCATCACTACTTCCTGGCATGGCAGACATTTTCTTTTGATGCGATCCCACTGAATGCTCTGGCAGTCTCCCGATGCCTTTCAAATGGGGAGACACAGGGTCTGCCTCACCTGTCTCGGTCCTAACCCATGGAGATGTCAGACTTTGATACCAATA